ATGCATAAGAGGGTCCAACATTAATTGCATAATTTAAAGTTTCTTTGGTGAGTCAGAGGTGAAGCCAAAAAACGATGGGTGTTCACGAGGAATGCCTTGATTCTTATGTTGCCAGCCCTTCCGGTTTTCCACAAATCTAAACTAAACTGAGCCGCTCCCCTTCCCTCTCGTGACTAACTTGTGATAATTTTCAGAGGAGTCGAAGGATCTCCCTTCGCGTGTTGATTCTTTTAGGAACGAGGGATCGCCCAGACCCCGCCCCGAATTTGTTTGGGTTTTTGACTACGCAGAGGGTCCTCATTTCGTTTCAGCAGCCCGCCAGGATCCAACGTTACAGGCCCAAGTATGAAAAGGATCCGTAATTCCGAGCAACGTCACAGTGTTGATGAAAGGCACATGATTGGGTTAAGGATTTGAGTTCGAGCTGCCAGTCTTTGCTAACGAAGTCACTCCCACATAAAGCAGGCACAGGGGGAGCTGCAGAGCATAAACAATAGTAGTGGTAATAGTTAGATGAATGTAATAATAAGTAGGAATACAAGCAATACAAGCGGTAGTGGTATAGTAGGTGTAGTAGTAGTAGGTAGCAGTAGCAGTTAGCAGTAGCAGTCGCAGTAGTACCAGAAGTAGCAGCAGCAGCAGCAGCAGCAGCAGTAGTAGAACTTGCCAGTGGTAGGAATGCGGTTCGTGCGCGTACTTGGTGAGAAATGTTTGTGGCCTGTTTTGAGGCACGGACTTCCCTGACTGCCGGCACAAATGAAATGACCAGCCAATGTGTACTGCTGACACAAACGGCACGCCTTTAAGAAGACGCACCACGCACGGGTGGCACTCAACGCCCTTACCCACCCCGCGTTCTTTTGAAGTATGTCGCTCTTGTGGCTTGTCAGCTCGATAGCAGATTCAGGACTGTGTCGCTTGTCAAAACAGCGCTCACAAGCTGGAAACTTGCAAAAGCCCTTTGCCAAGCTCCTTCCGCAAGCCTGATCTTAGAGACGTCTAAACATGCATTTCAGACGGAGTCACACATGGCAGGGTGGCAGAAAGCATGGCAAAACACAGCATTTTTCAACATAGCAATGTATGAGAAAACGCAATTTAAGCATGCTTACGAGGGTCTGGGAAATGAAGGCACCTTTTGAATCCTGAATTGAATAGTATAGGCGAAGTGTTACTGGGCCTGTTTGCCACCTTTTGAATCCTGATTTGAATAATGTAGGCGAAGTAGTTTTGGGCCAAACTGCTACGCTTTGAAACCTGAACTGAATAGTATGGGCGATGTGTTGCTGAGTGTTTGGTACGCTTTCAACCTTCAGTAGTCTAGGAAAATGATTGTTGGGCCTCTTTGCTACCCCTGTGACCTCCAATAGCATAGGCCAAGTGTTATTGCTCCTCTTTGCTGCCATTACAACCCTGAATAGTACAGGTTAAGCATTATTGTGCCTTCCTGCTAGCCTAAGGTCAGTGGTAGAAGCTGGGTGTCCTGAACCTGTTTGCTATGAGACTTCTGCCAGTACATGTTAATGACTACGCAAAGGTGCGTGATAGCCTCCTTCGGAGCTGGCCGTGCCCAAAGTCGTTATGGACGTAATTATCCCCTTCCACCCCGCCCGCCCCCAACCCCTTCAACAACATCTGTCAAAAGCTGTAAAATTCCGTAGAATTCCAAAAGCGGGTTTTGGGCCAAAAAGCCTGAAGCTGTGAAAAGCTACGAAGCCCAGCAAATACCAGTGAATTCGTCTGAGGGCAAAAATAACTATAACAAAACCAAAGAAAAGCAGACTCTCAGAAAACATGCCAACGGCCAAATGTACTGAACATACCAGTACTTTAGGCTGCTTCGAGCACAACAACGCAAAACAAAACGAAAATCCCGACGTCCAATTGCAAGAGGAAAAACAATTAAACAGTGGCTTCTGTAAACGCAAAATGCTGTAAATAGCAGTGAAAATGTGCATGGCGNNCAGACAAGGAAGCACAGAAAAGACAGTCGTCAAATACCAAAGGTATGACTATTGTAGTACTGTAGTGGTGTTGTAGTTGTAGTAGTAGTAGTACTACTACTACTACTACTGGTAGTAGTAGTAGTCGTCGTAGTAGTAGTAGTAGAGGTGGTAGTGGTGGTGGTAGTAGTAGTAGTAGTAGTACTGGTAGTAGTAGTCGTAGTAGTAGTAATAATAATAGCAGTAGTATTGGTAGTCATCGTCGTTGTTGTTGTTGTAGTAGCATCAGTATCAGCAGCAGCAGCACTCACAGTAGTAATAGTAGCTGCTTGACTAAGAAGACATTGACGACTACTACTATTTAGTTGCAATGCTTTACCTGCTACTTGGCGTAGCTCGAGCAGCAGCAGTAGCAGAAGTCGTGGCAACAGCAGGTTGTTGTGCTTGTCGTGAAGTCGCGGCTAATGATGATGGCGAGGAGCAGAAGATCATCCACCATTCTGTGACTTCTTCCATCAAAAGACGGCAGACCGGGGGCCAGTTAGCTAGTGTCATCTCGAAGAGCGAGAGCAAAGCGCGAGTGAAGGTGCCAAAGTACTCCTCAGCTAGGTGGGCGCGTGGCACGCTTACCAGCACCAGGTCAGCCATTCCACGTTTGGCAGTACGAGACTACCCTCTGGTAAGTCATTCTGAAAGATTCTATGACGTCCTACTCTGCAAGGTATGTGCCATTTGATATTTGCGCTGCTATATACGACTCTTGGGCATGTTGATGCTACCCCTTGCCCATCAGCCACTTGATGAGCGTAACCTTCTCTCACAGACAGCTTGCGCCAGCTTGCGACAATCCAACAACATCAGTTTGGGGGCATCATAGTCGCATTGCCGTTGTGCCCGTTCCGGGAAGTGCGCTGCTTTGCGCTGTTTCTAGTGTCCCCGGACATAGGATCGGACACTAAAGCCGCCAAAGCACGAAAACATGTAGTTGTCCTGCTTTTGCAGCCCCTTCCGCGTTGATGTCAAAGTAGAAGCCTGCCAGACTAACCACCCCTGGTAAGCCGTCTCCGAACGTGTATCAGCTCGTTGAGAGCTGTGGTTGTCAAGATCTTTAGTGGCAACTTGAGTGGGGTTTCATCTACGAATGTTGGCAGGGTTGCATGGGCGCCAGAGAGTGCACGCCAATATTTCGGCAGGAAAGCTCTGCACATGGCCTTGTCAGGGTTTTGCGACTTGCATGGCCATATAGCAGCGCAAGGTCTCAATTCGGTCAGGGTTTAAGGTTTAATTTAAGGTTTGACTTGACCACTCTTACAATGAAACTGCAAGGGGACCCCAGGGAAGGACCCAGAATATTGAGAAACACTTACTTTGGTCTTCTATGGATGGTCGTGCTACTTTTCGACCATGACTCTTCAATTGCGAGTTGTGCGCAGCAATCAGCACTCCGTGTGGGGCCTAGTTCTCTTGCCTCTACGCGCCAGCCCCTCAGCCCTATGAACCCAAAACCCAAATTCTTTCAGTGCCCACTTCTTGTCTGGTGCTGTTCGTAGTAACTTCAGCAAGTTGCCAAAAGCAAAGGCAACGAACTATTGTTACTATTGCGATTCAACCCTCAAAGGGAATTCTTGTATTCATGGAGTTGCAGTAGGGTTGTGGCTGAAGCAGGGAAGAAGGAATGCATTGCCAGACATGGCCCCAACCAACGTGTGCGACGCCTTGCATACAAGTACCGAAAGATGCGCTAAGCAAACCTCTGTAAACATTGCAACTACGGAAAAGTTTAGCTGTCCTGTCCGTACAGCTGTTGCATAGCAAAAGCAATCTTGTGCATAAACCTTTTCATCCAGGTTTTTACAAGGAGCGTTGCAGAAGATGGAAGCAGGATTACGAGGTTCGCGGTTCGTCTGTTCCCTAACTCTTGTTCTCTAGATCATACAGTAAGCACTTCCTAGTTCAAGGTACCATCAGAACAAGCAATGGGACAACTCCTGCCGTAACCACCTGAAAGCTACGCCTTTCCAAACCTTATGTTTACCAAGGGCGCACTCACAAGCTCAAACTGGGAATCCAAGAGGCCGAAGAGGATCTGTTGGACGATAAGGGCAAAAAGCATCTGGCAGACGAAGAGCCTAAAGAACTGCGGAGTGTGTGTTGAGTGAAGTTTGCCAGCCTAAAGGCTGAAAAACAGAATCGCGCATTTCCTATTCAAAATCAGAAAGACAAGAGCATTCGGCCCTTCCGAAAGGGGGGCCAGAGGGCGCGCGGATTCTAGATTCTAGGCGCACTCAGATGGAGATAGGAGATATACCGCCCCGAAAAGGTCCAAGATTCGACCACTCCTGTCACTGACTGATGAAGGACATCAGGCGCACTCAGAGTCTTTCAACTTACTCTGCTCTGTGGAAAGCTGCAAATCTGTCTAGCATTTTTAACATGCAAACACTGCAGTGCTCGGTTACAATTAATGTGGGCAAGAAGGCTGCCGCGACGCTACATACAGAGCATCTTCCTGCAAAAACCGGTTGACCAAATCAAGGTATCCAGCGCGGCATGAAATGTTACATGCTTGGTTAAGCCAGGTGGCAAAGTGATTGTCCATCCCAGGACCCCGAAACTGCTTCGAATAGCTGTCGTCATCAGGAAGAGCGCGTCGAATTCTTTCCTGCACGGGTTTACAAGGGAACTGCGCGGGCCTGCTGACTGCTGAAGCTGTGACCTTTGCTGGCATCCTGGATACTGGTCCAAATTGATGCATTCGACCACTAGATGCGGTCCGAGTAATCACCTCAATAAGTATTACTTGATCATGTTCAGAGTTACAGCAGCACCCTCAGGTTGAACACCTGAAGACGATCGCAGGCGGTGCCTGCTAAGCATGGTTGAAAGCAGTAGTCCCCCACCCTTGAGATCTCATCTATTTCAAAAGGAACTGCCTGAGTAACAAACAGTGGGGCTTCTGCACCTTGAGAACTGCTCGGGGTCTGATCTTGCACGTTGCTGCCCTCTGACCCTGGGCCTGGACCGCCAAACTCTTAATCCTAACAACCCATAAGCATATGTACCCCAACCCCATATCCACGAAAATCTGCAACCCTCCATCTCAAAACTACTGGGGGCAAGCCTAACTGGGACCCTTCTGGTTTCCATGGGAGCAAGATTGGGACTTTGAGACTTCGCGAAAAGACTTCGACATGAAGTCAAATCAGGGGGCCCTCTTTGTGGCAACTCCAAAGAACATCAAGTCAACCCAAAATCCTGAGCCCTAAAATGGCAGACGAGCTGCATGCGGCGCACGAGGCGCAGCATGCGGAGCAAGCGGAACAACCGGCCGAGGCGTAAAATCTGACCTCAGGCTTTGGCGGTGGGCTCAGGGCTTAGCCTGACCACATTTTCGGGTCTATCGGTCCTTTACGGGACCACTTTTAAACGTCTGGGACTTTGGTAAGTATGCAAAGAAGTGTATCGCTGTGAATCCCCCTCAGAGCTTGAAGCATCCGGGCTCTGCGAGATCTCCCACAATCCAACTGAACGGCATTTGTGCAGCAATGCAAGGGACATTGCTACTAGACTTCATAAACTTAGAACAGGCGCCCTCTGGAACCTTCAATCAACAGTAAGACTTGGTGGCACGAGGACGGTAAGAGTGTTTATTTTTTTTGTTGTCTGGTCTTTTTTGTTGTTTGGGCTTTTGAGGTGTTATTTTTTTGCTGTTTGGGCGGGGGCGTGTTTTTTTTTGCTGTTTGGGCCGGGGGCGTGTTTTTTTTTGCTGTTTGGGCGGGGGACGGGGG